AGCCGTTTCTGAGTAAATAATTGTTTAAAATTTTAACATTTACTAAGATTAGCGCAAAATTACGCAATAAAATTATATTTTCGAAAAATTGAACAAGACCTTATTTGAAGATTTTCTGACGAACACATGTTAGATTAGATTAGATTAGATTTATTCAGTCAAAAAACAGTAAAAACTGTATGTGACGTACAGGGAAAAGATTATCTGCGCACGTTTTCTTGAGTTCCAGAATCCCTTCCCGTCATTTTAACTATAAATAGTTGAAATATGAGTAAAAGTTTAACATAAATAAATAAAAATAAATTCTAAAAATCGCAAGATTAGCAATATTAAAAATAGTAATTTTCGTTTCTGAGTTATAGAAAACATTTGCATCGGTACATGAATTGCAAGTATGATTTTTCTGCATTGCTAACAAATTAGCAACTCGCCCCTACTTCTATTCTTACCATTACAAGCAAAAGGAGAGTTCAATAAAACGTGCGCATAGTGAAGCTACATTTACGTCCAGAAGCAAAACAAGGGGTCATCTTAGCATAAATGAGGGAAACTGGCCAAAAACCTGATCGAGATGGGGATCATTGACCGGAAAGCTGAAGTACATTATTTGTTACAAGTTGTACATTGTTAAGTCTTTTAAAAACAATATACAATACAAATGTAAAATAGTTCATTATATATCACTGTTTTGTTAAAATAAACATTATTTTTCTTTTTGATAATCAGTATAGTCTCTAATTGTATAGAAAGTTATGCAGCTGAAAAGATTTCATTGATTGTTTTTCTGCTATTTTCAAAAAATGAAGTTTTTTTACCGAAAATGGGACTGCACCACTCTCTTACACTGCTTTAAGCTATCTGACAACACAATTTAATCAAAAATCTGGAATTTTTGAAACTTTTGAAAATGTCACAGGGGTTTCATGTTCACCACCCAAAATCAAAATATACAAGGGAGTTCAAATATGACCGGGACTGATTTTTTTTACGAAATACTTTATTAGCAAAAAATGTATTTGTACATGCCATTCTTCAAGTACTTCCCTCCAGATTCTATATCAATTTTTTCCCAAACGTTCTGGGAGCACCTAATGCCCTTTTCATAAAATGTCTTGTCGGTTTGTCGGCATATCCCACTCTCCGACACACTAGTGGAATGACTGCGTCATTATCCGCAAAAATTTCGCATTCCTTGCAAATGTGATTTAAGCTGTGGCTAAACCAGGTGAAGAAAATCACTTAAAGGAAATACTGGACTTCAAGTTTGCTGATGGTTGCTCATGGTTGTTTTAGCAGTATGAGGCCACGTTTCCGCATTCGCCTTTGAAGGAATGCTAACCCGCGTCTCCACCTGTCTCTTCGTTTGGATCGGATCTTTTCTTTTGATTTCCATTTCCGCAAAAGTGCTTTTTTTTGAAATAATAAGCTGCATTGATAGTGTTAGCTTCTGTAAAAAAGTCTAACATGGATTAACATCGCCTTCCAGTCCCCCCCCCAAAAGTTGCATTCACTTTTCCCTTGCCGAACGGATCTTCCGCGCCTCTCTTGGGTTTGAAGAAGAGGCATGTCGCATTCACGAGATGCCTGCCTGGGACTCAGAATAAATAGTGGAACCAACGTTTCATCAGTGGTTACAATTGGACTTCAAAAATTGCATCTCCTTCAATTTTTCCGAACTGTATTTCGAAGAACACTGGCAGCTTTGCATGCGCATCAAATTTTTCTCGTCCGTCAAAGTGCGTGAACCAACCTAAGCATTCCACTTTTTCAATATTTTTAGGTGGTTTTTTATTCATCTCTTCTAACACTCCCACCCCTGATTCCAAAATTACTAATTGGCAACTTTTTTTGATAAGTGATGACGCCTTGTATATCGCACAAATACCAGCATTAACATGATAATGTTTGTTGGGGTTTTGGATGTTCGCTGGGGCGAGACGATTATGAGGTTCATTCTCAAAGCGGCGCTCTCGTGCCCTCTTCTGAAAGCCACTGTACGCACCATTCAAAAACACACGGGTCGTGAGAGGACAGCCTCATCCCTTGTACTTGTTTTTTATTGGAGTCCGCTGCTCAAGAAGTGGTCCGAGGTTGACAGGACGGGTGGTTTCGTCGTGACGAAGGACGGACGAGAATTTTGAGAATAATGCGTTGTTCCACGCCCGCGGCAACCCCTTTTTGTTCACGGTCATCGTTCTAGCAAGACCCAGAACTAAGACTGAATTAGGTTCTACCTGCAAAGTAGAGGGAGGTGGGGGGTTGTGGCTAGAATTCTCTCCAAGGCGGCGGCAGTAAATGCCGCATGGCGGGGTATTTGTGAAAAGAAAGTCAGTCCGCGGTCATATTTGAACCCCGCTTAGGTAAGTTTCAAATTTAAAGGGGTCGCTACATTCAGAACCCGATAGCGACTTCGCGCAAATTCAATTTTGGAGAATAATCGCTGAAAACGTGGAAAAGCTGGCCAACCAAAAATTGTTGACTGTCAGCGGACACCGACGTGTCGTCCATCGATTTATTCGCGAATCAACGACCACAAACGGATTCCGACATACGAGTCGAAAAGAAGAGAAAATCGAGAATGGACAAAGAGGGGAAAAAGACTGAAAAGGAAAAAGAGGAGAAAAGACAGAGGAACGGGGAAAAAGAGAGGAAGGGAAATATATATATATATATATATATAATATTATATATATATATATTATATATATATATATTTATATTGCTAATATATTCGTGCCCTTTCTTTAAACAATTTATATGTTTATTTTTTTTAAAAAATACAGAAGCATTTAGATAATAAATATTTTATTTATTTACACTAAACATAACAATCATATACAGTTAGAAATGCAGTAAAATCAATGAGACGGATGATGTACTACAGAGCTTACTGCGCAATCTTTCAATATTTGATGAAGAGTAATCCTCGGGATAAGATTGGAGAAAAGTTCCCGACTTAAACGCAAAGTAGTAGCACTATAACCTATAAGGGAAAGGGTGGCTCAGGGCATCAAGAACTGATGTCACGGCGGTGCCCCTGACATAATATCTATACATATCTCTCTCTCTTCTCTCTCTCTCTCTCATCCTTCCTCTCTCTCCTCTCTCTCTCTCTCGTTCTCTCTCTCTCTCTCACTCCCTCTCCTCTCATATATATCTTAATAATATATATAATAATAATAATATATCATATAATAATAATAAATATTATAATATATATTATCTTTAAAGATAATAGGCATGGATTGGAAGGAATAGAATTACCTAGTCAAACCAATATTCCGCCATGACGAAACTCAAAACCTATGTGTGGAAGCCCGACCATGGACGGTATTTGGTCGTAGCTATGAAGACGACTTGTATGGAGAACCAGGACAACGCCCAGAGTGATGATGCCTTCAAACCAGAGAAGTGCACGTAAAGTAGGAATTTGTAAAGACATTCACGTAAAAATGTACAAGTCCAAAACTGTTTTAATTAAGAATATTATTAAATTTAAATTGTTCACAAATGAAAGTAAAGATCGCCATTTAAAGATAAATATTTCAATGATTTAAAGTATAAATAAAGGATCCGAAAAGAGATATATAAAATTCAATTATATTGTTTAACCCTTCAACTGTTTCTCAAATACTTACGTGGTTTCTGTTTGGGGTCTTTTATGACCCCAAGCATTTTACACAATAATTTACAAGTATTTGATGCACGAATGTTATTTGGAATTATTAATTAAAAATGATGCTATTTATTTGCTTTATTTAAAATATTGTATTAAATAACAAAGAACAGTTGTTTTTTTTGTTTTTGTTTTTTTAATTCTAGCAAATCCTCATTACTCTACATACGTGTCTATCTTACCAGCATGAGAATGTTTGTAAAAGCGCTACTAAATCATAATAGACAAATACTCCAAATTATCACTCAGAACAGTAACATATTACAAAAAGAAAATGAACACATTTTTAGAATTTTTCCTGTAATTTAGCTGTCAAATGTGGCTTTTTTCACTCAAAATGCATAAAAATCAAATTATTTCCAACAAAGAAACAGACTAAGAAAATTGAAAAGATTACAACATCCGTAAAACTGGATGTAAATAGCATCTAAATATCTAAAAAGATAAGTTCATGCGAATCATTTTCAGTGTTGCAAAATATTATTTGTCCTTAAGGTCAAAAAAGACCCCAGTCTAAGAGTTACAAGAAATATTTTTAAGTTCAACAATAGATTGTAATTAAATTCAGCAGAAATTTTATAAATTAAAAGACTAGTTATGGAAGATAGTATTATGCTACTGTAACATTATTCTGAATCACGTTGTTATTTAGTAGTATGTTTATAAGTCACAAGAACAACCATCAACACAAGTTTTTCCCAAATTATTAAAAATTATTAACAGCTGTGTCCTATCAGCAGTGATTTTTACGCTTACCAAGATGAAACTGAGCAAGCCAAATGTAAAACTTTACAAGTGTATATAAGGAGTAAATAGCATTAGTATTAAAATATAGTAAGAAAAGGAAAGAGGGAAGAGTGCATAGCATGCTGGATTCACAATCTGGAGGTCCAGGTTCGATCTCTGGGCAAGCCATCAAGACCGGGTTTTCATGGTTTTCCTCGGTCACAAGGCAAATGCCGGGATGGTTTCAAAATCCCACAAACACCTCCTACTTCCCCACCTACCCGTAGTCCTTTCACTCCTCATCACCGCCCTATAATAATAATAATAATAATAATAATAATAATAATAATAATAATAATAATAATAATAATAATATACACACATAACTTATATATAACAACCGTGAGGTCTTGTGTCAAAATTTGACACATCATTTCACTGCTTTTTAAGCCACTATCATCTTACCTTCTAAATCTATTGCCTTTTCAATGGTTTATTGGTAAGTTGGAAACAGGAATGATAAAAGGCTTCAAACATATTACACTCCAGTACAAAGAGCAGGAAGATAGAGAAAAACTGAGATCAATTCAATATCTATTGTATTAACACTCAAAAAGAACACAGGCGATTACAAATGACACCAATTTACATCTGACTCAATTAATGCAATAGTACATGTTTTCATGTAGTCCTCATTTCTACCATATGAATCAATACGTTAACATTTCCTCAACTTCAGAGCTAAGTTTAAAATAGTAAGGACACATGTAGAAAAAATTAAGCTGATGCAACAAATATAAAAAGAATTAGTTAAATGTTTACACTGGATAAATGACACAGTGACTTCACTACAGCTGAACATAAACTTCAATGTTGTAATTCTATTATCCTCAAAGGATAAGAAATATGTACATAATAGATGTAAAAACTTATAAATTCTAATAGTAATATCTATTCATTACATACAGTTAACAAAACCTTGAAAGTTACATACTTCTCTATACAAGGCACTATCTAAAATGTTATATGTTACAGCTCTAATTCTCAGGTCTAAAATGAAATATTTCTTTTGTGAATTGCACTTTGTGCTACATACTATCCTTCTTTCATAATCTATATTGCACGACATTCATAAATTTTCTGGAAATATAGACAACAGTGATATCATCATTTCATGAGCATGTTTGAAGTTCCAATTTTGGACAAATTTAGTTTTAACAATTTCACAAACACTAGCTCTAAGAGACAAATAATGTATACAAAATGCTAAAGGAATATATTCTCAATAATCATTACATAATTAATCATGCACTCTGATGAATTACACAACACAAAGTTCTAATATGTCTATGGAAAGATTTCTACTCTTGTTCTTTCTTGATTCGAGATGGTAATTTGATCCCGTGTTTGACCATCAGATGACGAGTAACGTGAGTTCTTCGACTGAGAACTTTATGGCACAGATGACACTCAGTCTCACCAGCATGATAACGCAGATGGCTGCTCAGGCTTTTTGCATGGCTGTAGGCAGCTCCACAAACCACACATACAAACTTACGTTTGCTGCCTGGCTCTGAAGAGTCTTTGCCTTTCCGCGCAGGAGGTCGTCCACCTCGCCAAACTAAGCCTGTGATAAGGAAGTCCTGTTTTTAATGGTTCTAACCTAACGTTGAGCTTCAGAAACTGTGTTAAAGTTACCACAAAGTTAAAGAAACAATTAAATAGACATTATGTTAAAATACAATTAATTTTACTAGTAAATTTCCACAATAATTAACTTTTAAAAATTAAACATTTTTGTACTCAAGTCACCATAAAAATGTACATGTAAGTTGTGTATAAAGACTTTCTGGATAATTTTATTAGATAAAATAATAAAAGTATGTCATTGTGAATAATAAAAGTATGTCAACAATAAAAAAGACTTTGTGTAATAACCACTTGTTTTTTATTCAATGATAAACAAATTTGCTTCCAAATGTTATTCATGTTTATTTCACTTTCAAATGGTGGGTACCGTTGATTTTATGATTCTTATCTTACAACTTCATAATTAAAGGACATCTTTTGAAAATGAAACAATATATTTCACAAACTATAATCTGCCTTTATTTGGAACATTCACAACGTACATCCATAACATACAAGTATACAATCATAATTAATTATATAATTTGTCACTAGAAATGATTCAGTATTTTTAACACATATTTCAAAACATTGTAGCTTTTCACAACAATAACACACAACTCACAAAATGTTATGTTGTGAATAAACATGCAATGTCACAAGAACTGTAATACAGTATAATCTACTGCCAATGAATTACCCAGACAATAGTCCATGAACACACATCAAGTGTTGTTTTAAATATGATGACCTATTAAAAACAGCCTGACATACATAACATTTCGTAGCACCTAGATGAACAGCTTTGTGCTTTGATAAAGAGCTGCAAGTCTTGAACACTTTTCCACATATAGTACATACGTATACTCGTTGAAAAGATTTAGATGTACTGCCTCCTCGAGTCAACTCCTCTTGCCATTGCATCTCAGACAACTGCCATGGCACTGCTGTTGAGAAAATATACTAATCAGAAGTCAATCGTTCTTCCAATAAAGTGATCATTAAAATTGACAGAATACAAAAGTTTAAAGAATACACAAATGTCAAACAATGGGGTTGCCTTTCAGAATCTGAAAGAATAACAAAATATACTACAAACTACTACTCACATAGTGTATAAGCAGTGATTGAAGAATAATTGAACGGGCTTTGCATTTTTCCCTTCGAAACATACACTACCTCGTCGAAGAAAAAGCATATAATTTGTCAAAACATTTTAATTCCAGTATTTTTAATCAAATTATTTGTGGTTTATTTAAGCTTTCAGTTTTTATTTGCTTATTCATTTACTTAATGTATGTAACATCTACAATTTTAAATAAAAATGTCCTAAATCTACACTGACACCCAAATCTCAGCTACTGATTTTTGGTTTCGATTAATAGTAGGATTCTTCTACATTCTCAACATGCGATACTGAGAATATTGAACCTCTATGGTAACATTTTTATGTAAGTAGAGTTTCTAGAACTTATTTAAAACATTTCATCTCATTCTTCCTTTCTCTGTTATAGTCTTTTAAACTACTAAATAAAGTGTGACATTGTTAATAAAAAATGTAATTTCAATCATTTTGAAAAGAGCATAACAGATAACATTCTTACTGGTTCTCTTCTGCTATGCTATCTTTTGATTTCACTAAAAAATGAGACATGATTTCACCTAAAAAATAAAACAAAAATACTATCACAATAATTTACAGAATTTCAAGATAGAAAGAAAGGAAGAAAAAAGGAACCATTTGTGGATAAGTTCCTCAATTACTTCTATTTCACTTGTTCTTCACAATTCAGTTGGGGAAAAAAAAAAGATCATTTTCGATTCTGAGAAAAGCTTCTTTTGCAAAAGATGAAAAGTGAAAGCTTGAGAATCAAAATGCCAATAAACAATAATAATAAAAAAATGTTGTGTTAATCTCAAAAATAAGTTAAATGTTCTTCATAGTATAAGATGCCATTTTTGCCCACCTATTTTGAAAAAAATACATACTAGAACTTTTAGACTCAGTCAATGCAATATATTCACTCCAAAGCAAAATATTATGAAAGGAATACAACCTAGGATTCTCAAATTTTTTGAGCAGCTTCTTTGTATAATGTATGTACTGAGTATAAGTAACATTTTTGAAGGGGGCACCAGTTTATTTTTTTTAATGTGTGAAATATGTGTTTATAGTACCTATGAATTTCAAGTTTTCAAAGGTTATCTTAGAGCTGTGATAGCTTCCAAACCATTAAAAGACCATGTATTGTTTACATCTATTTGTGCACTACTACTCAATACATAAAATATTTCAAGTTTCAACACAAAATCAGCATAAGGCAAATTCCAGGTTTTAAAACAAAACATCTGCCAACACTCAAAATTTCACAAATCTCTATATTCCATTATCATACAAAGACATAATCACAAGCACTTTCCCCATTTTTGGAAAGCAGACAATTCAGGAATTATTTTCTCTACAAAGGCCATTAGCTCTCAGCAGGATGGCTGAAGAGATTATCTTTAGTACTTTTTCTTCCAACAATATACAGTAGAATAAAATGCTTGAAACAACTTTAGAGGAGTTATGAGAAACCTCATTAGTTGTTGGGATTCTTGAAAAATAATTGTTACTGTAGTAAATCATAACTGTAATATTTATAATTCCATTGAAGATCCAGTATTGTTATAAGAACCTCAAAAAACTAATTTAAAATACCTCACATGTTCACATGAGTTACAGTACTGGGTCAATCCAACCCAATTTTATTTTGCATCCAACAAGCTCCTATTGTAAATTTAGGATATAAATATAATGGTATAAAATCTTTGAGAATTCAGAGATTAACCCAGTCAGATTTGAAATGGAATGTATATTTTGAATAAGTACTGCCATATTTTGACATTCTTATTATCAACGTTCTGTTTTTTGAGCAAGAATTTTCAACCACTCACAAGTTTGTTTAACGCAGCAGTAAATAAGAGAGCTGCAGACCTCGCAAAGAATATGTCAGGAACTCTTTTAATATTCCATTATTTTCTTGGTATAAAAGAACAAATGCAATCTATTACTAAAATTTATAGCATCATCCCAAAAAGTTAAGAAGTTAAGTGTCACTGTACAAGACAATTACTCGGCTATGTTCTGTAATAATACAAATGACATAGCAAATATAAGCAGGTAACATTATCCTCTGTAAGGCAAATGAAAAGCAACAGTTGTATTTCTATAATTGTGTGAAAGAAGCCATTAATACACATAAAATAGAGATGAATTTGATACGTCTGAATAAAAGAAGCATTTTCAATAAGAAAACAAATTCACGAAAAATGCCAAATAGAAACAACACTATTTCTCATAAAATGCCAAGTGTTTTAAAACATAAAGAGAAGACTGATGAACTACTAAAGTAGAAATAAAACTTTGTTTTTGAACATTCAATATTATACTTTTTAAGGCTTATCTCAGATTTGCAGAAATATCTCAGAAGCTTCACCTCAGATTTGTTGTCCAGTTATACTTCATATTATAATGATACAAGCAAACCCCTGAATATATTCAAGGGATCAGATAATCAGTTTCTCAAAATCAATTAATTCCATGTTTTAACATGTAACACACACAACTAATAAAATTTTAACTAAACCATACCAAAATTAGATCTCTAATTTATGCTGCAGCAACTCAAACAATTAATTTTCACAAACGCAGAACGTTTCTGATGTCCTTAAATAGTTATTCAAATTTTCAAGAAATAAAAAACACAAAGTCAAGACATGGTTATTTATTTCTTACATCATTATTACAAATATAGACCAAAACATGCAATACACAATAGTATTTCACAAAAAGAAATTTTCGACGAAAGAACATAATACTGCTTAAGTATCAAACACAAATAATCTTGACTTCTCTGAGATCTTAATATATTTCATTATAATTTACAAAATTAACTGAACAATACATACATTACAGCCTGTAAGTTTGTTTTCAAAGAAATATAATAAAGAGAGATGTAGAACTGTTGTAGATACTGAACATTTTACTTTAATATTAAGATAACAATTTCATAATATTTCTGGTGAAATGCGATCTCTCAATTTATTAAAATTTATATGAAACAGTAACATTATAAAAATATCACATCTCTCTCTCTTTTCTCTCTTACTTCTTTAGTTACTATTTTACTCTAATTTAATAGTATTACTTTGTAAGTCTGACCATCCATGTTTGGTGATCAAATGCCGCTTGACATGACGAATTCTGCTGAGCACTGCGGGACACAAAGGACACTGAGTTTTACCAACGTGTACATTCCTATGCTCAGACAAGGAGTTCCGATTGTGAAACACCTTGCCACAGATGCTGCACTGCAGTCGGCCCTCGGAACCCCCCCCCCACTGAAGATCTACAAACAGAAATTAAAGAAAGAATGTGATCATGGCCAAGTTTCTACAATTCTTAAGAACATACAAGAAAATAAAATAATTTTTTGATGCATTCTGCTTGTAAAAAAAAATACAAAAATCTGGAATGCGTAGTTAAGAGGGGAAATATTGTGGTTCTATTAAAAAACTAAACCCAAATGTCTATGATCTTCTAGGAGTAATTATATTTCTTTCCATCTAATACAAAGCAATAAAAATTTTTTACTAATACAGGAGTGATATCCTACAGTAAATATATTGGCATACAAAAATTTCTTGTTACAATAAACACCAAAATATGAATTAAAATGTTTTTCCTTTAATTGAGTATTTTCAAAAACATGAAAAATCATAAAATTAAACATAAAAAATTATAATACTGGAAAACAGAAATCAAAAAAGCATACTGTATTCACATTTTCTCAGATTGCTTAGAAATAATACATGTTATTTACTAAACTAAAAAAATGACTATCTAGTCACAAATTTTGACAATCAACAAAACGCAATCATCAGAACAATATTAATTACAATAACTGTAGTACATGAATCCCTTATCAAAACTTCTAAAATGCTATGTCTTCAATCCTTTAGTCAACAGGAAAGTGATCAGGAAAGTGTAAAGCTTCAGAACAAATACGTAAAATAAAACAAAAGCAATCCATATTGAAGTTTGTGTTATCGTTCTGAGATTTTTTATGCAATCAGAAGGCAGCTGTCACTACCTCAAATGTAAATATATTCACACAATTTCTCACTTTCCTCAAACACTTTTCTGCAAAATTGTGTCACACTCCACTGTAATAAGGGCCTTTCATTATCTTTGAATTAACACTGAAAGGGAACTGAAATAATGAAATAAATAGGTTGTTTTTTAATATTAAATTGTCCAATTGACTCAAAGGGTGTCATTCGACAATTTCTGCAAAGAACCTCCGTGCTTCAATTTCATGTGACTTCTCATATCCCCAGTCCGACTGTACACCACAAAACAAATAGGACATTGGGTTTTTCCCCTATGAACATCTCTATGTTTGTATAGAGAACCAATGTTTTGAAATTTCTTGCCACAGATCTTGCAATGATGAGTATTTGAGTTTGTGAAACTGTTCAATGCAGCTATCTCCTGCCAGTCCCAATGAGATTCTATAAATAAAAAGGAAAATAAATTTATATATGTATATATACTTGTGATTAAATTAAATATTTATTATGCAAGTATATTAATAGTAATCAAACAGCAGGTAAAGTAAAAGAATATAATTTATAACAGAAGGAACATTCTGTGTGCTTACATACATTCTTTGGATTCCTGACTTCAAAACTATTTGTAAACTACAAAAATAAGACAAACTACTAGACCCCCTTTTTTCTTACCCTCAAAATAAAGAATTTATAGCTCTTTCATGCTGTTTGTTATAGTACAACTCTAGTGCTTGAAAGAAGAGAGAGAAATCAACTTAAATCTACATTGACCAATTATAAAAGCTTGTCCGGAGTTAATACATCAGAAGTCAGTTTTCAACATTCTGACATAATTTTTTGTGTGTGTGTAAATTATTACCCTCCCAAAGCATATAATATAAATATTTTCATTTACATTCCCTGATCAGGAAATAAGGTATATGATATATTAAATCATGATTTTTTGACCTCTTCAAAAACAAATATCATTAAGAAAACACAAATGGTAGAAGGTGCAAACTGTAATTTTTCAAACTGAAAGCCAATTTTTCAAAAATTATTAATCTATAAATAAACAAGTGTGACATTAAAATATCATTTCTAGGCAAGTTCTCACCATTCTTCATTAGGAATCCTGTACCATTCCATTTATGTTTTTGTGATAACAAATTTTAGATATTTGGATAGAATAACTTGGTTTAAAGATATATCTTCAACTAAATTTGGTAAACTAAATGACATGGAACTGTGCCAGTGGACCATAAACTAAGATCATCAAGATTTCACATGGTCCAAAACAGCTCGCAGAATCACTCAACAATAAATTAGTAATAGAACCTCTTCACAGATGAAGATTAAGAATAGCCAGAGAAAAAACTTCAACAATTTACTATCCAGCACAGTTTTAATTATAAAAATTATGGTTGTTCCTATCGTCGATAAGAGAGGATGAAAACATTTCTCTTTTATGAATCAATGTACTCTAACAAAAATAATAGACAGAAAATTATGAAATTTGAACCATAGTTGTAATGAACGAACCAATGAAAAACAAAACAAAATATTAACTACAGTATTTTTAGTCCTAAACAGCATAAAATTATTAAAACATAGTAACTAAAACACACATTTAAGCAGCACTTTCTTTGATTTAAAAAAATAATTAAATCAGTATTTGTGACTGAACTGAAAAAAGAAATCCTGGTAACATCATTCTTCACTCATGTAGATAAACACTATAAATTCTGCTGTGGCCATACACAGTAATAAACAAAGGAGAAGCAAAAAAGTTGTAAATGGAAAAAAATGTTTATAGACTTATGTGCAGCCACATAAATAAGAATAACTGACTGGAATTAAATGAAATGTTAATCATTACCAATCTTCCATTTACACAATACGAATTTAATGATTCATATTCTGAACCACATGATCTGAACTTACTTAAGTGTACATAACATTTTGTTTTCTAAATCTAACATTTTTCCATTTTTGTTGGTTTATCCACTTTGGTTTCTGAGATTCAAACATTCTTCACAAATAAATGTTTGTATTTGATGTTTTCATTTTTAATTTCTATTTGAAAATAAATTACTTGCAGCGTGAACAAAAATCTTGCTTTCCGCCAATGGGTTTAAACTTCATTCAACAAACCTCGTCAATTTTTTGTAAATAATAAAAAAAATGGTAAAAGCAACTTCTTGTAAATTACACTTTTGGGCGTACCATAAAAACCAGTAATTTAAACTCATGAAACAGTACTTTACAAAATCTTGAAATGTTATGAGTTAGTAAACAGCTAAAGAAATAATACATTCTTTAGGTATCTTTCATTTCCTCAAAGTAATTAACCTCCTTCATTTTAATATGTATACGTCTACTTTTGTATCGTTCTAGTGATTGTCTACTCTGATTTATTTGCAATTTCATTATTGTCCAGTAGAATTAAAATCCAAATGAGAAATAATTGCTACAAAAGCTTTTATTGTTTTAATGGCTTTATATGTGGCTGAATACACCTATCCTAGATTTTCTCCCTCAGTGGAGTGGTGCTTAAGCGGTGGTGATGGTGGTGGAGGGGGGGTAAAAACATACCCCCAAAAGGAGTATTTTTGCAGTAATTATCTTTTAAAGGACTTACAATATCAAAAACCTCTAATAACAAAAGCTCAGACTTGTTTTTCTTGAGCTAACAGGTTTTAAAGAAGAGCCTTTCGATAAATCATTTCTGTTATTTAAGAATTATGGAGGAGGAGAATTATGGAGCCTTCATGAAAAAATATTTTCAATTTTTATATTGTACATTCATTCCTCTCATGTTATTCAGGAAATTGTAAAAGACATTCAATATGGTAAAATTTCATTTTGCCTTGATTTTACTGCAACAGCACACAAGGATTCCATATCAAAGACATTCAGTTAAAAGCGCTTTTAGCGTGATCAACATCACTTCTTTTTCATCTCTAGGGCCTTTCCCTAAATGATCTGGTTTCCATAAATACTTAAAGAAACACTTTTAACTCAGAAACACAATTCTTAAGCCACCCTAAGTGGGAAGAGCACAACACAAAATTGCATGACACAACATTCAAAAGGTAAAAAATGAACATTCACACATATAAGAGGTGAATTCACACTTCTCTTCAAAAGTGATGAAATTGTACAACCTGGGTGATGAAGATTTTCAATTTTCTTATAACCTCAGCCACTACATGCCACACAGTTTTAATTTGCACTTTTCAATTCAATTTGTTATAATCACTCCTTTCCCTGACCTCATCATCTCTGGTTTCAATATCTCTCTAATAATTCTGGCACAAAACAGACCTTCAACATCGCGTTGTCATTGTTTAACATCTGCCACAATTACTAGCAAAAAAGTGACATGGCGTAGAAAATAAAAGTAGTTCTAGTAGTAGTATTTATTGTAGTAGGAGTATTACTACTACTACTACTACTACTACTACTACTACTACTACTACTACTACTACTACTACTGCTACTGCTGCTACTACAATAAAAGTTCAACTTATATAATTCAAGATGAAGTGTGGTAAAAAAATTCCCCCCCAAAAAATACCTCATCAAATATTTAACAAACAACAAATCTATACTTTGACACAAAATGATCACCATAAAATAATTGCAAATCATGTTTTAAGAGTACCATTTTACCAAGATAAAGATGTTAAGAAAGACAATGTATTCTTTAACAGGGTAAATTTTATTTGGATACATACACAAGTCAAAAAATGTTTTTTAACTTTGTTAGGTAGCATATTACAGAAATACTTTCTGAAATATGAATATACTGAGAATAATAATGCATTTGCACTATGCTACCAATACTCAAAATTACACTGTTTGACAACATTCTAATTTTTTACAAATAATATACACACTATACATTTAGAAAATGATCCATATTATAATTTACATGAATAAAGAGAATTATACTTAAGAAATATATAAAAGGAATTTACACTTAGTTTTGATAGAAAGAAATTTATTATTCCATTAAATATTTTATTAGGCAAAAAGGCATATCATTTCAAGAAGACAACTTTCTATATCACTCACAAATTATAAACAATAATTTCTGTACAAATAATCTCATTCAACTACCTATCAAATATGTTTATCTTCACACAATTCTCACAGAATACAGAAACATTGGAACTGAAAATTTAACAGAGAAACAAAAACATATTCTTAAAAAATACTTTTTACTGCTCTCAAACAGTCACTTCTTTTTTGTTCTCAGATTAAAAGCATTTAAAGCACAATTTACATCATTATTTGATCACTGATTTCCAAACAATTTACAATTACAACAAAGTTCAACTTAACATTTAAATCAAAGAAATAAACCTCATTCATCCAGTTTAGCAAAATTTGTAGTTATGGAAATTGTAACATATCAAGAAAAAAGTGGGAAAAGAGGTGTAAATCAATAGGGTAAAAGTTCAGAAATAAGCTTGTAAACACTAAACTATTACACAATCATTGTTTTAATTCCTATGTCAAGAATGTTATTTATAAGTAGCATCTTTCTAATATTAGTTATTATAAGAAATATAAGACAACATACACATGAGAATTTCAGTTAAATTATTCTGTTTACATATTGAAGTCCAACAAGCCACAGTTCATGAAAACATCTTGCTATGAATTATTTGTAATGGTATGTTAGAAGTAATAAAAATCTGACTAATAGATAGCTTTAATTTTTAAAAAATTACATCATTATTACAAATGTAACCAAATGTAAGAAAAATGAGCAAGTAACCCAAACAAACAAATGTAATGGTTGAACAATTTCTACATTATGAAAGTTAATTTTCATTGTTTACATTAAACACAGGATTTGCTAATCAAATCCACAACTAATGTGAAGAGAGAAATTGATTGTTTCAAAAATAAATATTACTTTCATTCTGTAAATCAAGTTCAGTATACACATTTCCCATTCCAGGGCTACATCAACTTTCTAAATATTGCTTTAATAAATCATACTTGATGGTATGAGTAGCATATAAGTGGTCAGTCATTTCACTTATTCGTGAAAATGTTAGGAGGCAAACTGGGCACTTAATAGGATTTTTGTGTTCATTCCTGTGCCTGCTTAACAACCGACAATTGCTGAACTGCTTCCCACAGATGTCACAAATATACAATGGAGGAGTCATGGTCACCTTAGGCTCTGGCAGCCAAACGATGTTTCTAGGAACCCACTCTTCCTCTATGGACAGAAAAATAAAATTTCCCAATGTAGTTGTTTGCATTTGAAGTATGAACATAACTTAACACAACATTATTTGTTTCAAATTCAACACAACCATTTAGGCCCAGGAAAATTACTTTTCTACCGAACACCATGAACACTGGCAAGGTGAAAATTCATATTGTATTTACGACTAAAAAGCTTATGACAAATTGGACATTCTGTTTCTCCTCTATGAATAGTTTTATGATGAGCAAGAGAGTCTCTCCGACGGAATTCTCTTCCACAAATACCACAGTAATATAGTACAGAAGTACTCAAAGCTGCACTGGATGTTCGTCTGTCAGGTATCAGCCATGTAGAAACTACACAAGAAAACAAATGACTTCAGTTGATCATCTCATTTCATTGTGTGTGTTAACAACTCAAATGTGCGGATATTACATGAATGCTCATTACTTCAAAGTGTTTCCACCTAGTACCAGAGCAAAGTTTCTTGGTCCTTCACTTCATTTCTGTTTCCTGCTTCTAAAAAGCATTTTACCACAAAACCTTATCAAAATCAAGGAGAAATGAATGTGTACCTTCAACATTAAGATGATTTTGTATCTAAAAGATACTAGCTATCTGAATAGCTTGGAGTTAACATGATTATCTAAATGAAATAATTTGAATGTGTGTACTATAAAGAGAAACTACTTTTAACTGTTCAAATAAGAATTATGTTTGATCCTTTTTTTATCACACACATTTTGTGACATATACAAAACTTGCAAAATTTCATTTTAACTGTCATACATGAATTAAAAGTTAACACAAATTATAAAAAAGTATGACAACATATCGTATTTTCCTTCCAATACAGTCTTGTGTATTACTAATTGAAAGAGATCAAAGCACCATTTGCAGAATACTCATGCACATGGAAATGTACAACGTGCTTCCAATTTATTAGAGTAACACCGTAATAGATAATTAAGAATAAATTCACACTGAATTAAGTCTGTGAACAGTTGAAATGTGAATCTTCATTGTATAAATTCTGCTGAAGACCTTGAAACATATTGGACATACAGTCTGGCCTTGGTGACTGCTCTTGTGATGTGTAAGCGAATCACGATGATAGAAAACTTTGCCGCAAATCTTGCACAAAAACTGAGGAGATTTTCCAAGAAATGTATAGTCAACTCGACGCACTTCTGATGAAAGCTTGTTAATTCCCCATTGCAGAGCTATAAAAGAAATTCCAAAGTAAATTTTTTAATCCACAAATTTACAAGTTGTGTAAAATAACAAAAATATGTTCGTCAAATTACGCAACTGATAAAACACTAAAACTGAGACTTATCTAAAACAAGCTTTTTAAACGGTGCTTCAACAAATAAATTCCTTACCTTACTTTATATAAAAATATCTAGAAATAAATAATAAAGCTCAATGTAAAAAAGAAACACAAAAATGCAAAAAATATTCTTGAAATCACATGCAAATTAAAGTGATATCAAAAATTAAATCAAGTATCTCTACCCATAATTTTAATTAAGAAATTTAGAACATTAGCAAGGACAGCTTCTCGAGAACTTAGAATATTATATCATTTATTGTAAAAATTAATTACAGGTAAATTGTTCTCTACATCATTAAATATGAAAATTTCCAGTTCCACATTGTCTGTTCTTAATTATAATGAATCTATCCGTAAGTTCGGTTCAAATTTCTCTGGTAACATAGACATCACAGTTTGTCTACATTTCATCTCTAGCAGATTTCTGAGGCCAATATTCTCTTTTACTAATTAATATTTGTAACACGACTGTATGACAAATAGATAAAATAATGCAAAATACACCTCCATTTTACTGTCAACTGATAATACATAAAATTAACAGAAATAACACCTTTTTTACTTCAATGCTGCAAG